GGGGGGGGGGGGGGGGGGGAATGCTGAAAATAAGACAATAAGGTTATTTATTCTAAGCAACAAAATACTAAGTTGAAACCTTAATTTAATCTTTAGCCTGTGTACACATTTTCAATTAAGTTTAAATCGAAATATTTTGTTAGTTAGACTCTGAATATTTAGATTTTTTTAATTAGATTTTTTTATTTTTTCAATGTTCATTAATACAAACCCCTAGATGCGCAAATGTATGCTATAAAATGATTCTTTTTTAAGGGGGAAAGGAAAAAACAAAGTAATTAATATAAATTGATAAAAAAAATACCCAAATAATAAACATAATATAATACAATTATGTGAAAATATCCAAAAAGGGTGTACTAATGTTATAATGAACATGGAATTATACTATTTTTGGCTCTGTTTTTGTTTCTTTTGGCAGGCCAAAAACGACTAGCATATTGATTGCAGGCAGACAGATTCCAGGACAAATGGCAATTAACAAGGGGAGAAGTGGACGGATGAGATGTTTTAAAAATAAAAACAAAAACATTGAATTTTACACAGAAGAACCAGAACTAAAAATAATTGCGTTTTTGGCTACAAAATTGCAACTATGGCAGGAATACCTTTCCTTTTCTTAGAGAAATTAATGAAGCTATTTTAATTTGTGGTGCGAGGATTAATTGGTGAAGTCATAATCTAATTATAGGCATGCATCCATCATCAAGAGGTTTCATTTACCAGAAGAAATTAATATATTAAATATTTTTTCATCCGCATTGCTTTCCAGCCATATGAGAAATGTTTTAACAATGTATTATGTTTTCAACTACATTTTAAAAATATGTTTATTTAAAAAAAAATATATCTTGGGATTGTGTTTTTTCAACTGTATTTTAAAAATAAATTTAATTAAAAATATATTTTGATGATTTTGATGCGCTAAAATTAAAATAATTTTGATAATAATTATCAAACCAAATTTAATAATAATTTTCTCTAAATATGCCGTTGGGAGAGAGAAATAAAATCAAAGAGAATTTTGTAATATGTCAAAGATTGATTAACATTGTTAATCATTCATGATACATAATAAAATAACAATTTATTTCATATAAGTGTAGTAATAAAATATTTGCTATTCTTCGGTAGTAGCAACCTTCGAGGCATATTTCTCTACATTTGTATCGAAGAACTATATAAAAAAAAAAGTAGAAAGATGCCAAAATACATGCCACTAAAATAGTCTAAGCTTGGCAACTAGCAAAGCTTTCACAAGAACCAATACCATCTTGCACACGGAAATATAGAGCCACCGGAAAACTACTTTTTCCTATTGAAAAACAGCTTATACTCACCGGAAAACAGCTCTTTTTTTCCTTGGCAAAACATGGGAATACCCCACAAGAAAGCTTATTGAAATAGCTAGGGGAGGCAATACAAATAAGCGGGTCTGGTATACCTTGACCCACCATGCATGATCATGACAAGTAAATTTGCACAGATAAGATTTGATGAGTACGTACCATTTGATGGGAGAGGAGGCTGGAGAGGCTTGGTTCTACAGAGAAACGACGATGGTGGACACGTCCTTCTGCTCGGACAGAGAGAGGGAGGGAGGGAGATTGAAGTGGAAAGAGCTACGACGGAGTGCTTTCTTGCAAAGTAAAATGGTGTTTTTATAGGGTTCGGGTACCACCACAAAAAAAAGATTAGGAGAGGGTGTTGGTGTGTTTATTGTCAAGATCACTTGATTAATTAGAGTATGATTTAACTAATCACATATTTAAATAGGAAAGGATGGATGGTATTTAAAAATGATTGATAGCTTTTTGGAATTTGTATTTAAAAAATATGGAGGAATTTTATCTTGTTGTCTAGCCCAAAGATGTCAAGCAAGTGTTTGGAGATAATTATTTCGGAAAAAATAAAATATAGTTTTGTGTTCAGATACAAGATTTTTATATATATAAAAAAAAAAGGGAAGTTTTTCCTTTTATGTATAAAGGGAGGAAGAAATTCAAATTAATTTATTTCGATAAACTCTCACCATGCATTTCTCTTAATTACTGAGAATCAAAATAGTTAATAATTACTTTTTTAATTTCTTTTGTTTATTTAATATTAAAAAACTTAGTTAATAGAAAGCATTTTTCAATTAATTTTTTTAATTTTGAAAAAAGCATTTTTATTTTATTTTGAATAATAAATATTTTCTAAAAGTTGTGAAAAAATTTAAAATATTATATTACTTACTAATTATAACAAATTTGGTTTTGTTGTGAAAAAATTAAAAATATTATATTACTTACTGATTATAACAAATTTGATAATATTTTATATTAACTTTGATCTTTATTTTTATGATTATTATTTGCTTTTCTCTTATTATATTTTTAATTAAAAAATTTTATCCATCAAATTTGATCTATAAAAAAATAATTTTTTAAAATAAAATTATTTTATAGCAAATAAATATATAAGAAAGTGCAAGAGGACATGAATGTTTCACCTGTACCACTAATCTTTTAATTAATTTCGATGGTTGAGAATTTTTTAAATTATTAACTTAGTGGGCTAGTCCTTCAATTAAAAAAGAATTATTGTAATCCTTCCGTCAAACTAATTCTACTAATTTATATGATAGCATTAGCTGGATTCATGATTAGGAAAAACCATTTTTTATATATATAATAAACATGTTGATATTTTTTTCAAAATGGGACTGTCAATGATTTTTTTTCCTGAAGAAAATTAGTGATTGTTTATAATCGAGTTAATTTATAAGTTTTATCACAAGGATTCACAAACCCCAGTAAGTAGGTTTAATATATTAATTTTTTTTTTGATTTTATAAGTTTAAATTTCAGAATTATTAATCAAGAAAATTTATTTATCTGTTAGTTTTTTAGATCATTTTAAAATAATTAGCCTTAACCACATGAAGGACGAAATGGAGAAGTGGTTATGAGAGTCTATGGTTTCGCATCCACGGCTATGCCCCTCATCGATCAAAAATATGAAAGAAAAATGTATTAAATAAGAAGATTCGAGACACGTTTTTTCTAAACTTTTATTTTTAGATTTTTTTTAAAGTGTGTTTATCTTTTAAAAAAAATTAATTAATTTTTTTTCGTAATTTTTAATAATTTCAATATACGGATTTTAAAAATAAAAAATTAATTAAAAAATAGTTTTTAAAAATAACATATATCATAATATCATTTTATTGAATTAGAAGTATACTTTCCTTAGAGATGCCAAATTTTATGCTAGACGATAGATTAATATTTTATATGAGGCTCAAGAGTAATTAATACTTGGATTAAAAGTTATTATTACAGTTAAAAAAAGAGAGTAAATTATTGCAGATTTTATTAGAATTTAAGATTGCAAACTTTAAAAAACAGTTTAAATATATGGTAATCTAATACTATTTCCTAAATTTCTGAGTTTGAATTTTAGAATCATTAATTAAGAAAAACTATTCATCTGAATATACTGCATCAACGTAAAACTTAAACAAAAATTAATCTTAAGTGAACCTATAATCTAACTTGAAGTTAAATCTTAATTCAACAAGTACAACAAGGAAACATGGTTATAAGATTCTATCGTCTCACATCAATGGCTGTCACCCATCAATCAATTAATGATAGAAAAATGAAAAGTTTGTTGGGGCCGTGCTTTTACCGAAATTAAAAAGATAGAATTTACTTTTTGTAATTTATATTATTTTGTTGTGTTAATATTAAAAAAAATAATTTTAAAAAATAAAAAATATTATTTTAATATATTTTAAAATAAAAATATTTTAAAAAATAATTATTACCACCATACTAAACATGAATAAAATGAATAAAAAGAGCATGCTTGTTTCCAATTAAGAATTAAAAAAGAAAAACATTTGCTTAGAGATTGTTAAT